GAAAAGTACCTCAAACAGAAAATTTATTTGCTACATTAAAAAAAAAAAATTAAAAGTACTAAATGCATATTTTACATCTCTCTATCAGTGTATCAAGTTGTGTAACAAAAAATCTGTGATGTATAATGCAACCTAAAGTAGATACTTGTATTCTAGAGTGGCTGATTAAGCTCTGTGCAAAATTTCATCAAGATAGGACTATTTTATGCCTAAAAAAGATTGTGCACAAGATGAGAGAATTACCTCAAAATGGAAATCGAGAAAAATGCATTTGAAAGTTGTAAATATGTTTACTCATGATTACACAGTGCGATTTGCACAAAACTTGGTGATATCATAGAAGGGACACAGCTAGAGCACCTAAAATTGTCCTGCTCCATATGTGGATCCTTCTCGCCGCTTGAGAAGGGAGTCATCAAGGCGCGCTTTCTTTGCCACGTTCCGCCGATGGGCCCTTGCCTCGGCTGTTTCACACGCAGACATTCTTTCGATTCTCCTCTGGTCGCGGGATTGGCCCAGGGTGATCAGTTGATCTGGTGGGACTACACCAAGCTCCTGTAGCACGTGTTCAAAGCTTGAATGTCCTTTATTGAACCACAACACGGCCATAGCAGCTGCAGTTTCCACTGTTGTCCGGGAGGCAAACTTAGTCTTCGGACACAACAACCAGATTTTGCTGTTCAAAGATTCTGCAGCGTTTTGGGTCTTCCCTTGGATACAACGCACCAGCAACTTTTCATCTGTGAGCCGCTTGTAAATGGGAGGCACAGCCAATCCTTGAGCCTTGGTCAAGATTGGTGTGTGGTCGGGTGGGGCCTCCCCAAGCGCTTCAGCTCGCCTATGCTTGCACCAGGAAGTCGCCCCTTCTGGACAGTATCGGTGGCTGCCTGCTGTGTTGCTCGATGATGAATGGAAATATGAGGCCCAGATGGCACGATGCATTTTCAGAATATCACCTCTGTTGTTTGTGATTGCAATACGGTAATAGTTCTGCAGCTTCTGAATTGTGCCATCTGTCAGCTTTTCCCCTCGTGGAAGTCTTGTTGGCAGTTTCCGAAGTGCAGTGCCTAGACGCTTGGCCACATGGTTTGTGCACTCCTCCTTGTCCACAACAGCTTCACCATATACCTTGGCCTCAGCGACAGCGGTATAAGCTTTGCTGTCCCCATCACTGAGGAACTTGGTGAAGCGCAATGGTGTTGTGTATGAGGATGTCCTGCCCCATATGCGCAAAGCTGCCTCAGTCTCCATGGCATGAGAGGAGCACTCTGTATTTTTTTCGCAGACAGGTGTGTGGAATGCTTGCCATATTTCTTCCTCATCACCCAAGTCCTGGTGCCGGCTACAGGCAAGGCAGTAATTCGATAGCACTTCAAAATCTAGGCACAAACCAGTGTCCACAGACACAGCAGTGCCGATGCCATTGTGGCTCTTGTGCCCTCTTTTTTGCCATGTGCCATCATACATGACAGCAACATCAGCCCCATCCACTTTCTCTTTAGTTATCATCCGCGCTTTCGCCAGGTTTTCTTGCACAGCTTTGGTAGCTGCAGCATGAACTTTTTTGCCAATTGCAATAAAAGTCTTATGATGCATAGGTATTGGCAGTCCAAGAATAGCGCAAAAACGCGACAGCTGTTCATGCCCAATGCCTATTGCACGCGCAGCCACAACTACCTTCACATTGACAGCGAAGCTGTCACGCGAGCTGCCGCTTCGGTAGCTCCAGTCATCACCGGCATCGGTGGGCTGTCTTTCCGGCAGAACACGCCGCGAACTATGCGCGGCAGAAACCACTGACTCAGGACACTCACTGTTATCACAGTGCAGCTCGAGGAACGAAGAGAGGCCCTTACGTTTACTTGCGGTGTCGCGAACGACGAGTCCAGCGGTGTGGCATGTTGGACAAACAGCACGGCTTACCATCGATGTCAGTGCGCCGATGTCACAAAATACTCCGCTCACAGAGCCACAAACACTCTTCGTTCTTTCGCTTTCGAACTGTTCAATCTTTTTTTCTGATGCGCTGATGAACTTGATCGCGGCGTCGATTTCGTCAAAGTTCCCGCAAGCCGCCGTATCCCCGCTGCCTTGATTAGGCCTAGTGGCCCGCGGCTCGCATTCTTCTACCGCTGCTTTGCGCTTCGGTTTACGTCGACGCCCTTGGTACTTGTTCTTGCTTGCAAACTTTCGTGCTCGGAAGTCTCGCTTCTTCGAGTTATCCATGGTGAACTCGGAAAAACGTAGAAACGCACGGCAAGTGCCGATCGTCGCAAGCGCTCAGCGAGCGAGGCCGATCAGATGTAGCCAATGGCGGCCTCGGTAGCGTACCATGTGACCGGTAGAGATGCGCGAAGCGGCTGCAGCTTGGCTGCAAACCGACTTGGAAACGACTGTTTTGTGAAATTCCTCACTAAAATACGAAACTAGGGGGACGCCTGTACACTAGAAGGAGCCTTGATCTACACCACCGAACAAACCCCGATGGCGGACGTCATCGTGTTGCCGAGTGGCGGATTTTCAAAAATAGCCGTCGGATGCGTGAATTCGCGACTTCGGCAGCTACCTTCACTAGCGCAGATCGACTTTTTACCACTTTCTCGTTTGAATTCAGCTATGACCTTTGGGGAAATGATAGTTGAATGATCAAAAGTGATTTTAGAAGCAATATCTCAAAAGTGGAAATTTTCGCAAAAAACGCGATTTTTCGACCCGCATCTCCCCTTAAGTCGCCAGGTTGGCTACGCTATTCACCGGGGGCCAATGTAGGGAACTATGCGAACGACAAAGAAGCAGCATGAAACGGCAAGCCACAGCGTTGGTGCACGCGCGACCCGAGCTTGCGTTTGTTTTGTATTTTCGGCCTGTTGGCGTTCCTCGCTCTTCTGGCGTTCCTCGGCCTTCCAGTAGGTCTGTACGTGAATAAACTGCGTGACAGTACAAAAGACGAGAGGCTTCCCAAGACTGCTTTGCAGGCACACTGAAATCTCAATATAACAAACTATCGGTTATAACAAAGTATATGAAGAATATTTTTGTAGTAAATGGTGTTAAGAATATACGGTCATAACGAGTTTTTGGATACAACAAAGTATTTTTGTGGCAAACCTGACTGTGATAACGAGGTTTGAATTCAAAAGTAGTTGGTTTAACTCTTTCGTTACCAAGCCTATTCAAATCGATCACCGGTGATTGACGCTTTTGGATCATAGATTTTGCCATGTTAAATTTGTTTCTCGTGTGCCCAGCACTTTCTAGTAGTCAGTTCAGACACTGAACTCTCAGAATCAATTTGAATTCGCCCATTTCGGCAACAAAGTGATTTTTGACAGACCTTAGCACGAATCAATGTGCGTGTATTGCTCGAAAAGTACACTAGGCTGGCGAACTTGACAGAAGTGCGTGCTTCTCGTGATTATGGTACAGTAACATTGAAGTTCTGTAATGAAAAAAAAAAAAAAAAACCTTTGCAAGCCGAATGTCATTCTAAAGTGTCAGCTTTGCAATTTGACAATGTTAAGCAGCAATAAGTGCCATAACAATAAGCCAGATATTCAATAGAGAGCTGTTCCTGGAAAACAGGGAAAATTTGTTCTACAAAAAATATTTGCGAAGGTCCGCCGCATGTCTAAAGTGTCTCTACGACAGTTTCCAGCAACTTTAGTTTTGCTTGCATTGTTATATCAGAAACAGGGTTGCATCTAGTGTCACTAGTAGCTCCTATGACGCTGTCGTCACGAACGCATAGATGCTCATCAGCGCTGCAAAACTCAAGCGCTCGTCAAAAATCTGTTGTTACCCCACCTGAATTGAGTGAGGACAAGCTTAAGAGTTCGAAGATGACATCACCTAAGCTTCAAGTTTTATGGCAATGATGTTTTGCATGAGCCTCAGACATCTGCAGCCAGCCGTTCACGGGTTTCTGTTGTGTACATCCTCAAGTTGTCTCCTCCGCCACAACCGTGTATAGCTTCTGACCTTTGTGCACAACCTTATAGCTGCGCTGGTAACGTGCGTGGTCCACACTTCGCTGGAGTGCGGTGTGCTGGCGCTGGCTGTAGAGCTTCTTTAACTACGAGGAGGCTCCTGGAGCACATCTTGGCCCTGACTACAGTGCAGTGCAAGACCTTTTAGAACTGCACGCAATATCCTTTTCTTTAATACGATATGTTCAAAAACGAAAAAAGAAATATGCTTGGATGCATATATGGGAACGCCAACCTTTACGGAGTGAGATGGCTCATGGAAAGATGTCACGCTAGATGAAATAGAGAAGTTCATTGGACACTTCATTTATGGAGGAATTATTCACACCATGGGTATCCATCTATACTGGAACACCTGGAGACTCTTATCACAAGACAACAAAAATTTACTGAGAAAAGAGTATGAGTACACTTGTCTTCACGAAAAACTATGCAATGTTTCACCGCACGGCACAAGCAACGGAGCAGCACCTTGGTTCTGATTTTCTTTGACTATGTCAAGAGGAGCATTTTCTACAACATTCATTATTTTTTACACTGTTCCTGGGTCATTTATCTACAAAATGTATATTCAGAATTTTCTTTGTTTTGAACTTTGTTTTGAATACTTTTTTCATGCATAGTGTTTTTTATTGTACTGTTTACCATCTGGTAACTCAAAATTTCACACTTTTCACATTTTTATTCATTCTAAAATGTTTTTGTTGCTCTACAACATATATTTTTTTGGAAAGAGCATTTCATTGTGTAAAGTTTGGTATGCTGTGATGCGTGCTGGAGTACTTTTCAAACTGGCAAAAGTGATTTTTCTGAGACATATGAGAAATAACCATGCGGTAACGAAAGAGCTAAACTTGCGAGAGTAATCAGCACCAAAAGGTAAAGTATAAAACATGCACACAAGCCTACCAGCTCACTATGCCTGTCAGTCCAGCCCACACAGGAATCAAGTTATCATTGTAGCATTGAGTAAGCACACACATACGTATTCTTAGATGAACACTAAGCACACACCTTTAGAGAATTCAGCAGAGCCACCATGCGAGCTCCAACAGGTGAACTGGGCTCCACTGCCTCCTTGGCAAATGCTTCTGCCATCACCATTACCACTCGTGGAAGGTTGGCATTGTCTTTTCCCAGCAAAGCCGGATGGTTTCTGCGACAGTAACAAAAATACGAAAAGGATGTTCACTTCATATGATCCATTTTTTGAAATCTGTAACAGAAAAATTGCTGTCTACAGTGTCGCACAGCTACTGCAAATGTGCCAGTGAAGTGTAAAATAAATGTACATCGAACAGCAGCCATTAACAAAAATGTGTCAATCAAGGGGTACATACACTTCTAATAGTGAGCAAAGCAGCCCATAGACATGTGGGTTTTCTTCGTCATCTTCCCAGACAGGCAGCCAAGAAAACCACCGTGGAATAAGTTCATCGGCATTGATGGCCTGGGAACGCCACAACAACACCTTGCTGACAGCAGAGATGGCATTTTCGGTCGCAAACACACGCTCGGGAGCCCTCGAGTCCGGAGCTTCGATCATGGCGACCAGCACTGGCACAGCCTGAACACACGTTTGGACAAAGCCTTCACCACCAAACTGTGCCAGCACACCAATGCCGTAGCTGGCCGCCTGCCGAACCTCAGGACTAGTGCTGGTCAGCAGTGCTAGTAGCCGTTCAAGGAAGCAGTTCCGATAGCGCTCGCATGCCTGCAATGACAATTCGATAAAGTTGAAGCATGGCAACAAATAAGCAGAATGTGACACTATGCATATTACAAAAATGAGGCAATCAGACTCCAAGCATGTGGCTCTGAAATATTAATGTTATTTTCTGCTGCACAACTCAAGGGGAAGTTGCAAGATTCTGCTCTCCAGTACAACAAAACTTTTCAAGAGAATGTTATGTGCGTAAAAATACTGTGTCTGCCTGGTCTGCCAACAGTGCATAGATACCGTATTTACTCGCAAAACGAACACACTCGCATAAACGCACCCCCAACTTCAGTCATCAAAATTTGGATGTTTTTTTTTCCCCGTGTCAGAAACACACCCCCTACATTCATCCATTGCAGTCCCACTAACAGACACCTGGCGCCTTCTCACCCGTTGGATCTCTTCAGTCTTATTATTCAGCCGACCCACTTCGGCTTACTCCCCACCTCCCCCTTTCGCCTGTTGCCTTGTATTTTTCTATCTGTGCGCGGCACGTCCCCCATTTTATCTGTGTGCCACAGCGGTGTTGACAAATTGTGCGAGTTTAGAGACATCGCAGCTGATAAGCACACAGCGAGCAAAGGTCACGAAACTGCCCGAGCCAACTGACGCGGGCAGTTTCAAAAAGCCCAACCACGTGCACGCAATTTTCGAGCGACAACGACAGGATTTGCTGTCGCGAGGGATCTTTAGGCACTATCGCGTCGCAGGTTCCTGGAAAACCAGAAAAAATCGCTTGTCATCCAGAAAAGATTGTGATGATTTTCGCAACACGGTAGCACCCCCGATTCTTGGTTCGCTTGCTATCCGCGCGTAGAGAAACTTCTCATATAGAAGCGAGGTGGCGGCCATATTTTGTCGTTAATCTTGCTATCGACTGTTTCTTTGATGCTACGGGGGTAGCTTGCTGCAATGTTGGTTACTTGCTAACACGACCTCGTCGTGCTTGCTACAATGTTAATGGCGTTGTCACGGTCATTGTGCGAGGTTGCCGCAAAGTTGGCTAAGTGCGTCGTAGCGCACACTTTTGGGCGCCCCTCGAGATCACAGCAGATACCACTGTTGCGGTCAAACAATTGCGAAATAAGACAGCTGGAAAGCGCGTTTATGGCGTGGGCGGGCGGCCCGGCCATAGCTTGCAGAAGATAGCGCCATCAGCCACTGATGATGAGTCAAGTGCAACAAAGAAGCCGTTTCCAAACAGTGTATGCGTACGTCAATTCTGAAAGAATGTTGCTTACCGTAATTACTAGAATCTAACACGCACCTTTTTTCCGGTTAAGCGGGTTCATAAATCGCATGCGTGTTAGAATTGAGTACAAAAAAAAATTACGGTCAATCTATTGCCATCGGCAAATCCAAAATGGCCGCCCCCTATGTGCGTTCACATGGCGCGTCGGCCATTTCTGCCTATGTGTTTCCCATGTGCGGCACTTTGTACGTGTGCTGAGGAGTTCGTCATCTAGTAGTGCATTAGCATCGACGGCGTGGAAGGGCCGATTCCTAAAACTCGAGTGCACCACGATGCTGCTTTTAAAAGAAAAGTCATCGCATGTGCAGAAACGAACGGAAATCGGGCCGTATCGCGGTCGTTCGGAGTTCCCGAAACGTGCGTGCGGGACTGGCGGAAACAAAAGCAAAATATTGTCGACAGCAAAGCTTCACGCAAAGGCTTCAGTGGACCACAGCAGGGTCAGTTTCTGCAAATTGAAGAGCTGCTCGGCGAGTATGTCCTTGAGCAGCGAGCGGCACAGCGGCCCGTGACGACACAACTGCTCTAAGTGCGAACTATGCAATTAGCCTTACAAAAGGTCTAATGCGGAGCCAGTTTAAAGAGAGCAGGTGCTGGCCAACTAACTTTATGAAGAGGAAAGGCTTTTCTCTCCAAAGGTGAACGGGCATATGCGAAAACTTTTGCAGAGGAGTACGATCAAAAGCGTCACAGTTTTCAGAGGTTCGTCCTAAACTTGCGCCACAACAACGGCTACCTGTTTGGGAAAATCGGGAATGCCGATCAGACACCTCTTTACTTCGACATGCCTGGCACCACAACCGTCGAGAAAAAGGGGGCGAAGCAAGTTCGCGTGGTGACATCGGTCCACAGTAAAACTACAGTGACGGCAACACTCTGTTACTCGTCAGATGGGCACAAGCTTCCCCCGTACCTCATAATTAAATGGAAGGCGCTTCCGAAAGGAGTCGTTTTTTAGAGTGGTGTGATTGTGCGGGCCAGCGAGAAAAATGGGTGCGCGTTGCAATCGATGTCTTACTTTTTTTTTTCATTGCGGAAATCGGGTGCGCGTTACAATAGAGGGCGCGGTGGAATCGAGTAAATACGGTACTTTCTGCAATGTTAATGGCGCCGTCACAGTCGTTGTGCGAGGTTGCCGGGAAGTTGGCAAAGGGCATCGCAGCGCACGCTTTTGGGCGCCCCTCGAGATCACAGCCGATACAACTGTTGCGGTCAAACGATTGCGCGAAAAGATAGCCGCAAAACGCTTTTATGGCATGCGGGGACAGCGCAGGGACAACTTAATTGCAAAAGATAGCACCATGAACTACCGAAGATGAGTCAAGTGCAAAAAGAAGCTGTTTCTAAACAGTCAAAATTTGGAGTGCTCCTTCCAACCACTTCCTCTATATTGAACTAAAAGAATGGCATTTGCACAGGACTTGTTGCAATTTTTAGGTCATGACGACGATGCAAATTTTTATTATAACATGTGATATATGCTATTTGAATTATATTCGAACCTAAAATTCACTATTTGCACAAGCCTACGCATAACTTTTTGCGGCGTTATAAATTACATGTGCATCAGTAACCAAGCCATAAACGATTTTCTAAGAGCAATGTGGGGAGCCACTGCTTTATATGCAAACCTTATGGCAAATTCGTGCAATACTTTATTTGCTGTTTTTTCCACTGCAATCTAACAGTGCACCTTCAAGTTTATGGTCAACAGGGGCTTTGAAAAAAGCAGTTAGCTCGACTCCAGGCAATGCAATTAGATAACATTAGGCACCTCTAAAAAGGTATTCAGATAAGGTTTGGTTTGGGAAAACTTTATTGTATTCAGATAAGGTATTTAAAGACACACAGTTCAACTTACCGGTCCCCCATATTCTATGATGTCATCAAAAACACACAGGCTCCACTGGTGGTCCGGCCACGGTCGGTCTGGACCCTAAAAAAAAAAAACGCCGAAAATTAAAAGGTAAATAAATAAAGAGGCACAATTTGCTTGAGGCACAATGCTTGAGGCACAATTTTTTAGACTTGCTCAATTATATTTGCACTTGGTGTATTCCTTGTTATATGGTAGAATCTCAATAAAGCAAATTCCTTACAGCATGCAAAATATTCCTGCCACTTTGAATTTCTTCGGTCCATAACCAGCCAACTCTTACATAGAAATGAACAAAAAATTTACCAAGTTTGACTCCTTCCAGACAAAAAATATTAATTTACAGCACACCTTTGCACATCTCTGTTTTCTGCCCTAATATCTCTGATAAGCCTCTTATTAAATGCACGTAACTATGCAGCAGTTTGACCACTCTGGTATTGCAAAATTTACGTCTAATGTTGTTTTAAAAACTCTTCTTTTGGTACATGCAATCTCTAACCTACACCATAGCAATTAGATGTAACTCAAAACACACTAAATACCCGAAAAATGTTTATACATAATTAAACACAAAGTTGCAAAAAAAAAAGAACACTCAGGCTTCCGGAATTCGCTTTTATGCTATCAAGAACGACCAGCTTGGTGATTTATAAGCTTGTGCAAATAGTGAATTTTAGGTTCCAAGAGAATAGTGATTTTGGTCGAATAATTTCGAATCAAAGTCAAATAGTATATGTGATGGAGAAAAATGGCCATATTTATCATGACCATATTTACCTGCACAATATATTGCTTTAATTCAAGCAAGGCTTCTATGCAAATGCTTTTTTTTTTTTCGTTCAAAGGAAGTAGAAACAACTTGAGTAGTAGAAGGGTCTGACTTTTGATAGGATGCAAGCGATAACCTTTAAAGGGGCCCTGAAACACTTTTTCAAGTAACCATGGAATGAATTCACTGGAAAAGCTTATTTGTTCTCACGAATTCAACGCCACAAAAATTTCAAAAATCCGTCCAGTGCGAGCGGAGTTGCAAACATTTGTTGCATGCTGCAATCGGGTCTTCTCTTGTTCTGACGAAAACGCTGAAAGCTACACAGGGAGGGATGGCAGGGCCAAAGAAAAATGTCACGTGCGCCTCGTGACCTTGAGCACTTTTTTCCTTCGAATGTGCGGTTGTTTTTAGTATGATCGCACGCCTAGACAAGTAGCAGCCTTCCCATCGATCTCTGCAACGAGCGAGTGTGCCATGTTCAAATCGGCTAATGGCTGATGGATGGGCTTGCTACGTGTGATTTTTGGGTATATTCCGTGATTTGTGCGAGAGAAGAGAAAGCAATATTTAGCTGACTTTGATAATTCATTGTGAATTCCAGGCCGCGTGCAACGCATAATATTTGGCTCGCATGTTATTGGGAGCCTCTACTACCGATCGGCAGGCATTTTCTGACCATGCTCAAAAAGTATTGCACGGCCCATTTAAAATACGTAGCATTTTAAAATTTATTATACTTAGAGCATATATGCCTATATCAAGCTTTTAAGCTTAAATAAAATTATGAATTGATTTGAGGGTAATACGCTCAAATCAGCCAATGGCTGATACAACGGCCATGACAAATGGTTTTTGAGCTTGTGGCATTATTTGCAGAAGAGAGCAAGTTTTAGCTGACTTTGAGAATTTATTATGAATTAGCAGGCCACGTGCTGCACTACAATATTTTGCACGCGAGTACTCAGTAGCCTCGTCTACCAATCGGCAGAGTTTCTGACTATGCTCGCAAAGTGTAGCAGGGCCCCTTTAAATTTGAAAAGAAAACTTTGCGGCAAAACGCCTTTCCCCTGGATGACTGTTTTTACAGCTTAGCACCCCTAAACTAATGTGAAACCACCTTTACAGGGAGGGGGGGGGGAGTTGCACGAGATTAATGTTTTTCTATTCATTCATTGCAAATACTTCAAAAATTTTCAATAATTTAATTCGAATAAAAGTGAATTTGAATACTCTACTATTCGTTCAAATATTTGAAGCATTCAAATATTCACACAAGCCTAGTATTTTACAAACCTTCAAAGATTTGCATTTCCATCTCTGCATTTTTTACCCATTATGACAGTCACAAAACAAAGTTCAAACAAGCAAACAAAACAAAATTAGGGGCCAGTGTGACATCTTTGGCGCATGCTACCATCCTATTGGCTGGTGCCATGACAACTGTACATTGAAGCTACCAGCGGAGAGAGCAGCTGTGAGGGCTTCTTACAAAAACTCATCTCTGCCCTGATTACACTGCAATCATTAATTGTGGATTACCACTTGTTAAATGAATAAATGAACACTTATTTAAAGAAAAGTGATACTCTATCATCGACTGGATTAGCTGATGATTAGACTACACTGCACCGCCAAAGTCATCAGCATCTCTGTACTCCACTCCCACAGTGCACCAGCAATAATGCAATGGCCAAGCAAACCATAATGCAGAAGCTCACCAGCAGCCTCGTAAAATGGGGCAACAGCTTGTCGAAGTGAGGGAAGAACTCCTCCTTGTAGCAAGACAGCAGTGGCCTCAGAATGTCGGCAATTTTGCTCAGCAGAAACACGTCTTCGTCGTCCTGCACACACAAATGCCACTTCCATCTCAGCGTGAACAAACTTCCAAGGCAGCTTACAAACACACAACTCATTATGGCAAGGTTGCCTAATCTGGAGGAGATGACACAAGTGTGCCGTTGTCTCAAGACTGGAAAGGTGAAACGTCTCCCTGGGTATTTAAAAACGATTGTGGGGATGCTATCACCCCCTGTAAAGTCATTTGCACCTTGTGGCGCACACGTGTATCGCGGATAGGCCGCATTTAGGGTTCACAACCATTAGGCGGGAGGTGGCGTGCTTGCGGGCGTTTACCACAATCGTCATCATGGTTAGTAAGGTAGCACCAGCAGCGATGCCTGGCAGCGAGTCTGGGTGCCGGCTAGGGGTGTGCGAATATTCGAAAGTTTCGAATATTCGTCGAATATTAAATTCGCACTATTCGTATTCGATTTGAAAAAAGTGTATTCGAAAAGTTCGAATTCACTTCGAATATTCGACAATATAGAATATTTGATTGGATTATCATGCGGAAAATAACTCTTTAATATTTCCGCTGGGTTCACAGATATTAAAACGTTGCCCAGAGGGGCGATAAGCGTCAGAAGTGCATGGAGGCACTATGTCGGCCAGCGACGTTCAACAATCAGCAGCAAAGTTGACGTTCGTGTAAACGTATTGCACACTTTTCATATGCTGCCGTAACGTGCTGCACTACCACACGGTTCACTATGCGGGACCTCGTGTGCAGGAACGAAGCTTAACCGTTGCCGCGTTGTCTCATCAAAACATCACTTAATAACGCTCGACCGTGCACGCGCGTGCTAAAGCAGGAACTTCGTCACCGTCGGCAAACGCTTCGATTAGAAAACATAATAAGTGACAAAAAGAGTTCAAGTGGTAATTTGTACCATGATGTCGCATTTATTTCCTTTTTCGAGGAAGTTCCGCACGTGAGCAGTCACACAGTTATACAACATGCTCGAAAGCGGTTAATGTCGTATTCCCGGCAAGTATGCATCAAATAACTTGGACTGCATTCCAAACATATTGAATATATGAAACGGTAATCATGCGCCGACCTTTCAGTTTTATATATCTGTATATGCATATAAATATTTTTCGTGCTGGCCACCAGAGCGCATGAGTAGTAGTAGTGCGCCATGTAGTGCACAGTGCTACGTTAGTAGGGTCAGCGGCGTTGGCTAGTGCTGTCAGCCGCTACGATCAGTTCTGCTAGCTTGTGTGCGGTGCACATGGTGCGATTTTGACGCGAGCCTTTGTAACCTGTGATGGACTCGCGTGGTTAATATGTGCCATGGCAGATAGCGGAGGTTATGACGACTCTCCTGCGAAACGAAGGAACAATCAAGACACGGCGCCGAAACGAAGGGAAAGAAGCGCTATCTGGAAGCACTTTGTGAAGACATCGTCGTCGTTGGCGCAGTGCAAGACATGCGGCGCAACAATTAAAACGCCGACGGGTACGACTAGTCCTCTTGTTAACCATCTAAAACAGCACCCAACCGCGATGGAGTACCGGATGACAGCAACAGGTGCGCCAGAGAAAGACCAGTCAATGATATTTGATTTTGTGCACCGTACTAACCCTTTGTCTGAAAAGAAAACTCAAGCACTCAATGCCAAGGTGGCTGCCATGGTAGCGCTTGATTTGCAACCATATAGTTTTGTTGAAGACCGCGGATTTAAGGAACTCATGGCAGAGGCTGTGCCTAACTATCGCCTACCGTCGCGCACCACGCTTTCACGTACCCTTGTTCCGCGCTTGTTTGATGACACACGGAAGAAAGTGAAGGACGAGCTCAGCAGTGCTTTCGAAGGGGGAACATCTGCAGTCACCTTTACCAGCGACATGTGGACATCACGCGCCAACGAGAGTTATGTGAGCTTCACTTGCCACCTTCTCACTCCAAGTTTTAGGATGAAGCGGTTCACGCTTAACATTCGCCACATGGAACTTGTTAGCCACTCCGCCGAAAACATTGCGCGAATGCTTGTCGAGATGTGCGCGGAATGGGAAATACCGGATGGCTGCCGCAAATACATCGTCACAGATAACGGACGCAACATCCATGCCGCGGTCAGAAGGCTCCTGTGGACTGAGCGTGCGTGTTTCGCCCACACCCTGCAGCTAGCAATTTACGATGCAATCTCCAACACACCGTCAATTGACCGTCTGTGCAAGAAAGCGAGGCACATCGTGGGCCACTATAAGCACAGCTCGTCTGCACAAAAGAGATTAGATGAGTACCAGAAAAAGATGGGCAAGGATCCACTTCGTCTGGTGCAAGATGTAGATACGAGGTGGAACAGCCAATACCTAATGCTGTCCCGCCTCTTGGACTTGAAGGAGGCTGTCTCTGTTGAGCTGGCAACGTCAAGTAGCAGCATTGATGGTCTCTGCTCAGCAGAATGGAAAGAGGCTCTTGAATATCTGGACGCACTGAAGCCCTTATATGATGCAACTGTGATAACTAGCGCAGACAAATACCCATTACTTTCCACTCAGATACCAATTATTTTTGGTATGCTAAGTTGCCTCAGCAACTTTAGCGGCACAACAGGCTTTCATAAGAAACTGGCAAGGTCTCTCAATACCTGATTCCCCTTATATACCGAGGACAAAGAAGCATGCTTGGCTGTGTTTTTGGACCCACGCTTCAAGTCAACGGTATTCAGAAACAAAAAACAAAAGTTGGTGTAGCTGAAAAATCTGGTGCTTCAGGATGTTGCCCTATGCCCTGCTGTGGAAGTCGTGCAGCCAGCAGCAAAAGTGCAGGAGCCACAACAGTGTGTGCAGCCATCCTCTGATGTTTGGAGTGCATTTGATAATCTTGCAAATAGTCAAGTAGCAAGTACACCACTGTCTACTTCAGAATGGGAAATTAAAGCGTATTCTGAAGAAGCCCTACTGAAGAAAGACAGTGACCCATGTGACTGGTGGCGGACTGTGGGCACCTTCAGATACCCGTCTGGAAAAGCTTTGCCCCAAGTACTTGCCCATACCAGCCACTTCATTTCCAAGCGAGCGTGCCTTTTCAGTGGCAGGGGAGGTTGTCTCTGTTCGGAGGGAGCGCCTCCTGCCTGATCATGTGAAGCAACTCATATTCCTCCATGATAACATGTAGTCATTATGTTTCATGATAAACAGCTAGTTATTACTTGCATTGTGTTCCAAATAACAGTGTATATGTTGTGTTAACAGACAGGCTGTTGTGTATTTTTTAGATAAATACAGTGGAATCTCGATGATACGAATCTCACGGGGTCACGAAAAATATTCGTATTAGCCGAAATTCGTATCATCGAAACAAATAAAACTAGCTAAATTAACAAAGAGTCAGACGTGAACTCATCCAGGCACAAGTACGTAAAAAGCATTTATTTCTTGATGAAAAAGTCTCTGATGTCCTTCTGTCTCTTTCTTCGCCAGGTCACCTAGCAGACTTTGTTCGAAAGCATAAAAACGCCTGCACGTGTCGTCGCTGACTTCATCCGCGGCCACAGCGCGCCTCAGAACGTCGAGCGCATGCAGCGTTTCAGCCGCCGGTGGTGGTCCTTCGCCGTCGCCCACGTCTATGTCGTCGCCATCATCGCTGGAATCGGCAGCCCCGCACGCGGCCTCCTCAACAATATCTTCGACCGTGCGCGTACCACAGGTGGCGAGATCGTCATCTGCCGTGCAAAAATCATCAGATGTGCACTCGACGTTGAGCTGTTCCCAGTCCTCAATTGTAGGATCTTCCGGCTCTGGGGGCACCTCTTCTGGACTCCCGAAGAAGCCGCATTTGCCGAAGCAGTTCGCTACGGTAGTCGGAGTTACCCGATCCCATGCCATAGCTATAAAATGGATGGCGTCCAAGAGGCTTATTTTCAGGTCACCTTCGTCCTTTCGGTCAATTTTTGCGAGTAGGCGACGCACAAGAAAGCTCTTAAAATGGTGCTTCACATTCTTAATAATCCCAGCGTCAAGGGGTTGCAGGTGCGTCGTCGCGTTTGCGGGTAAAAAGACGAGTTTGACGTTCTGAAGCGTTACTTGCCTGGGGTGGGCGGCGCACTGGTCAAGAAAAAGAAGAATCTTCCGATTCTTACAAGCCATCCTCCTGTCAAGGAGTGACAAAAACTCTTCAAACAACGCCGCCGTCATCCACGCCTTTTTGTTTGCGCGATAGACGCACGGCAAATGACTCTCGCGCTTCAAGCACCGGGGCTTTTGGAACTTTCCGACTACGGTCAGCTTAAGCTTTTCCGATCCGTCGGCGTTACAGCACAAGAGCACAGTAATACGCTCTTTGCTTTTTTTGCCACCTCTGCATGCTTTGCCTTTTAAACAGAGGCTCTTTTCGGGTTGCAGGTTAAAAAAGAGACCTGCCTCATCAGCATTAAAAACATCGCGAGGCTCATACTCTGCAATGAGTGACGGCAGCTTCTCTAACTAGTTGCTGACAACTGCCTCGTCCGCTTTTTTCGCTTCGCCACAGACGCTTTTGTAAACGAGAGCGTGCCTAGTCTTAAAGCGCTGCAGCCACCCACCTGAGGCCTGAAATCCGTCGATATGCAGAGCAAGTGCAAACTCGTCGGCTTTCTCCCGCAAAACTTTGCCATCGATATTTACGCCAGCTGCGGTTACTTCTTTAAACCAGGTCAGGAGAGTCTCTTCAAGTTTTACGTGCTGAGCGGTCTTCGCTTGCTTTGCGTTGACGTTGAACGAAAGCACGTTTTTCATTATCGTCTCTCGCTGTCCAACAACTGTGCTCAGTGTTGACGTTGCAAGGCCTAGCTCCTTAGCCAACTCCGTCCGCTTTCTCTTAGGATCCTCATCGACCTTGCGAAGGATGTCTAATTTCTCCTTAAAGGAGAGCGCTTTTCGCTTGCGAGACATAGCTCGTTGCGACTAGGCAAAATGGCGCAAACACAAAGAACGCGGTCCAAAGCACAGCACTGCAACCACTCCGTCCAACGCCACGCAGAGAAAGAGGAAAAGCACAACAGCAACAAAAGCGTCACGGCCCAATTGGTGGTGGTAGTGATTAGAATGAAGAGGAAAAAGGCACCTAATTTCTGTCTGCCTTCAGGCGACACGGCGCAGTGCCTTATAGGGTTGGGGGGAAGGAGGGATAAAAAGAATAGAAGGAAAGTAGAAGCAGAAGAAGACAGCCAACGAGAGGAAAAAGAAGGAGATAGGAAAGTGGGGATCCGGTCGAAGCAGTCCAAGGGCGGGGTGCCACAATGCGAGAGCTACACGGCGTCAGGAGACCGCGGAGGGCGAACCAGTCGGCGGGAGCTACGCTGAAGTCGGAGATCGCGAGGGCACAACCGTCCAGCTTGAAATCCTGCGAGCGAATCCCCCCCAATTGCCCCGCGCAGTCCGCCGCGTCGTCGCATTCGCGCCGCCGCACCCAAAAAGAGAGGGAGAAAGGAAACCGTGGCCAGCGCCATCTCTAAACCTAAACCGAAATCAAAGGGCGCAAGCGGTCTCTGAGGTCTCCGATATTGCGCACGCCGCGCGCCGATGTTGGAGACCGCCACGCGCTGCTGGCAGGCACCGTTGGCAAAATGCCAAACCATTGGTGCAGCGCGCATTCCGGCGCGCGACTGAGCGCTGTTCTATTTCGCGGCCGTCAGTGGGCGGCGTTCATTCGTATCAAACGACGCGGGCAGAAAATCGATTCGTAACAAACGTCCTCTAGCGCATTGCAAAGCAATGGGGCTCGGCAGGGACCACAGAAAAATTCGTATCATCCGGAAATTCGTATTAGCCGTGATCGTATCATCGAGATTCCACTGTACATCTTAAATTATTGTTACTGTAGAGGCATTTGTCCTTTGATATTCGATATTCGATTCGATATTCGAACATGAATATTCGTATTCGATTCGTATTAGAAAAATTTCATATTCGCACACCCCTGGTGCCTGCATATGACACATCGGCGAGCCTCTTTACCGTGTGGCAGCTGGCGTGAAGGGTTGTATCCCGCGATGGGTCCATAAGTCGACGGAACCGCGGGTTGTCTACCGTGGGCCCTCGTAGTTAGTCGAGTGTTGCCACCGCCGCCTCCGCGCTACCTTGTGTTCCTTATGTTTGATTGAGTGTTTTGGAATAGTGTATGAGGTTGTTTAAGCAAGCTGGTCACTAGTGATGTATTTTGATTCGGCTGACGATATTGTCGAGGTAAAAGCAGTTAAATAAATGAATGCTGTTTGGTTGGTCTGATCGATTGTGTTCGTCCGTGTGTTCCGAGAGCAGTGGCTCTCTTTTCGAGACCCCACAAGATGGACATATGAGAAAGTGAAAAGATAATTAAAATTCAGGAAGCTTAACAGCAGACAGCCTTGGTCTGGGGATGGAATACAGGACAAAAGAAAATGCTCACAGCACACTCAATCTTTATGCTGTAGTATAAGACTGGTAAAGTACAGTAGAATCTCAATGATCGCAGTTGATACAAATTTTGCGATGATACAAATTTTAAGGTTGTTTCAGACAAACTACAGTATATGAAATACGCCATGATTCGGTGTTCTACGTACGGTTTCCCCAGCCACCGTGGATGATACGAACGCACAACTGACCGCTGCACACAAACGATGCAGTGCGGCTTGTCTGTGGGAGGAAGGCCCGTTCACACTTGGCCTCGAAGGGAGCGAATGCGGCAAAACTCACTGAAGTTTCTCTAGCTTCGCCGCCACCATAGTGGCTGGAAAACTTCGCAGCGAGGTCGACACGAAAAAAAAAAAAATCGACCCAAAACCGATTTCTCCGCCACGAAATAGCAGATTGCCTTTTTGCTTCATGGCTTTGGCTACACCAGTAGGTATTCTCTGACCACGAGATGTAAACAACGAGCTGCAAATTCAACATGCCGGCAAAGGCGTTGGCTCGCATCGGTGCAATCGCGAACTACCGTGCACCACGGCAAAGCTCGTAGCCTTGACAAAGACGTGTTCATCGACCGCCTGGTTTGGCTTGCAATTGCTGAAAACACAGGAACTAGAAGAAGATGCAGCAACGAGTTGGCATGCCCGAACGTGTCTCGTTTTTGCACTGTCGGCTGAATCAGCCGTCGCAGCTGTTAGTGCACCCGCTCGTGTCGTTTCTTTTGGCATATCTCCCGAAACAATGTTTTAAAGGCGTAAACTGTTTCTTTTCAGTGCTTTGAATGTATAACTAGAACTTGGTATAAATTTTAATGCTCAGAAAACAGGCAAAAGGGAATGAATTCCCAAGCGGAGAAGGCGGCGGCGGTAGCATGTACAAAGGGCGGAACGAATGTGAACGTTTTTAACGGGCATGGATGTGGTTTGCGGGCCCCTCTGGCATTTTCGTTTGAATTCTCCAGGACTGATTTTTTTCGTGTCGGCTTCGTGGCGCATTTTTCCGGCCGCTGAGTAAGGAAACCACCCCATTTTATTGAAGAGGCAGTAGAAGCATGAAAGTTCCGAAGAACGTCATGGCTTTTTTTTTTCTTTTTCAGCAAGTAATTGACCCCAACAAATTTTTTCTTTATCTTAATGATCAGCTTTACCTGTTCATAGGAATTCTGAATCATACAAATATTTTGCGTGCTCCCTTTGAATTCATATCATCGAGATTCCCCTGTAGAAGCACAGGAGAACTTTCATGGCCTTTTGGAGGTCATAGTCCCCGGATGTGTTTTTTTTTTTTTTTTTTTCTGTATACGCATATCCAATTTTCCGAAAGTGGCTCAAAAAGACAGTTTATGACATTCCATTTATAGGCACAAAAGGTGCCCTACAATGATGGTCCAAAATTATTTCCCCTAAAGCTCCTACTGTACAATAGCAGCAGTGTTGAAGATCTTTCCTGTTCTTGACTATAACTAGCACACTTACCTTACAGTCGCTCAAAAAAGTCGAAGGAGCATCCAATCCTGTCAATAAAGTCTAGCAGAGGGCTATGCACAACTCCAACCTACCTCATCGAGCAGCTCCTCCTCCACAAGCTCATCATAGTCTTCGTCCCTACGCTTCATTTGACGTTCGTCAGCTCGTTCAAAGTGCTCCCTCAGGTACTTGTCCAGTATCCCAATCAAGGTGTTAATCTGTTCCTCTGACAGGCACTTTGTGCCCAATACGGACAGGCACTGCAATGACACACATACGAAGCAATGAAGAATGATCAAATTGGTCAGCAGCCACAGCGACGAGACTCAATACCTACCAAAGATTAGCACTTTTCCACAATAAGTTGAAAGATGAGTGCATACGCGTGTGTACACATTTCATAATATCATGCAATTTGAAGAAATTAACATTAGCATCAAGTTTAACAGGAACCAGCCGCCTAAAAAAAATTGGCCTTGTATTTACATGTTTCACTGCAAATGTCAAAAAATGATGGTCTTGCGTGTGGAGAGAGTGAACAAAACGTTTATTTGACGTTCTGCACGAGAAAATCAGTGAATTGTATTCTGGAAGTGCTGCGTTAGAGAGTCTCGATCCGTGCAGCGAAGGCAAACTGGCAAATTGAGGCATGTTAGACACGAGTGCCATCTGACAGTTATCTTTGAAAACGAAAGAAGGCGTGTGCACCCACGAAGAAAGATGCACGCCTGTCTCAAAGGCGATAAGGTGTAGAACACAAAGCGACGGGCAGGTGCCACCACAATGTCATCTTAGCAAAACGTTAGAAAACACTTGCCTTTTTGGGCATCGCATTGCACTATCAGGGCAGCGTGATAAACGCTACTGTCCTAGAATTACTTATGTCTGCCTTCTCTAGTATAAAGACACTCATACAAAATATCGACGTGTTGTTTCGGTGCCTCAGATATGCGCAATAATAACTTTTTAATTGCCAATCGCACAAGTATGAAAGCTGAAACTAGAGCAACATTGGTGGGCGCTGCAGATGGGGTTGGCTGTTTGAGGTATCACTTGGTGCTATTTAAGGTATTATTGACGCGGACAAACAGACAAATGTACAGGCAGACCAAAATTTTGGCGCCGAAGGTCTCTAAGAAAGGCTATCGTCTTTAAAAAGCTCTTTACAGTAATGCCAATGTTAGCGTAAGCGATCCAAGCTTTCATAAACCTGACCTTTCTTAATGAGGGAAACGAAGATGACCTTTCTTAACAATGAGGGAAACAAAGATTTGAATTCCTGCACACAGCTTTGTATTTATGTCTAGTTTACCTTAAAAGCTCCCTAAACCACCCTGTGGTCAAGATTTGGTAGTTGTAGTGCAGCAGTTGTGCACGAGTCTTACAACAATAGCGCAGCCGCCAGAACTTTTCGAAAGATTATCACAACGGAGATACACATGTTAGATGATCCAAAAGCAGCCTTCACTCTCTTCCCTTGGCTACGCTCGATTCGTTGCCTCATTTAATAAGCGGAGGAATAGCAGTGAGCGCGTGTCCCTTCAAGCATACCAAACAGGTTTTCTTTTCTTTATCTCTTTTTTTTAATGAATGGTGACATTAGACCAATGCAGGCGTAACTGAAAGGCCCAAAGAGGACAAAACATTGTTTCTGAAAAATTTATGGTATGCATACAGCTTGTAACGCTACCACATTTGGCATTGTTTGTCATGAGACAGCATTCTGAAATCAATTAACACGCTTACATTGGAACCCCGCTATTACTTTCCTCACTTCTACGTTTTCTGGACGGTTACGTTGTCTTTCATCGGTCCCAGCATAGCTCCCATAGAATCCCATGTATTGCGAACTCCACTGTTACGTCGCAACTGCGAGACCATTCCTGCATGATGCACCGCAGCCTAGTCCACCGAACCCGCTCGGCACGCCGCCCGGGTACCATAGGTCCGTTCGATTCACCTGCACCGGTCGGAACCGGTTCACGGCTGTACACGCGAAGTTCAGAAATTGTGCAGCATGAGTTCAGCGGTGTAGGCACAGCACGACACCCGAAACAAATGACGATGTGCCGACCAGGTGTTGGCCTTATTTCTTTTCGGTTAATTTACACCGTTCAGCAAACACTGATCTATGGCGAAACGCACATGCGGACAGTTTATGAGGGGCGAACATCTTGGCAAAACACACCGCATTTGTAGAGGCGGGTGCGGCGCCTAAGCCACCTACGTCTAAGTGCTGCGTCGTCTGCTCAGCTGCACGCGCGCCTGCACCAAGCCGGCACCGTCAGCGAAGGAGGTGCAGGAAAATAGTGAACCGGTGCTGCACCTCTTCTGCACCTTTCGAAACGAATGGCAGGGTTCAGCGGTCGTCAATGCTGCACCGCTGAAACGAATGGCAAGGTGCAGCACCTCGTGAACTGGTTCACGTGGTACAGGCAAATCGAACGGACCTCATAATTTCAATTTGACGTTTCACAGTCTTGGGCTGGCGTGGCTACGAAACAGGCTGCAAGAAGCCGCAGGCGAGTTGTAGAGGCCGCGCCTAGATGGCCATTTCTGAAAAGTGCGATATCATTGTACCGAGTGTGCTTACAACGGAAGTTTCACTATGGAATGCCAAAAGTGTTGAATACCGTTAAGCTTGTCAATGGAATCTTTGTCAAGCCTTAATAGCTTCGCGTAAGTGGAAAGCGCTGTCTCGCGCGTATTGATAGTGAACAGCAGCCTACGACAATTTCGGCACTCGATGCCATGCGTCGCATTAGCGTGTAATGGTCGCATTAGCGTGGAGTGCAGTGAGCGCGTACACTGCAGTGCACTGCTTCGCAAGGTGTGGGTTCAGTATGTACAATGAAGGGGAACCTGCCATCAAGGCTCAACAATCGGAAGCAGCCTCTAGTGAGCAAGAGGACCCATCTTTACTGTGTTTTCCTCCACTACAGGCTTCGCCTTTGACCGTGAGAGTCTTTGATGAAAGCGCTTTATAAGAAACACCCATCTCGTCAACGTTGAAGACGTCTCGTGGCTCAAAGCTCATCAAAATTTCCTTAAGTCGCGCCTGTTGCCAGTGGGTGCAAATGTCCCTGTTGACTGCAGCACTCTCACCTGAGATTGCTTAGAAGACAAGGCCATGGCGTTATTTGAAGCGGCTGAGCCATCCGTCATTTAGGACGAAGTTCTCAACACCCATTTCCATGGCGAACCCTCGAGCTTTCTGCTCGAGAACTGGTCCGCTTATGAGCAAATTGGAACTCCGTACACGCTTGAACCACAGAAAAAAAACTTTTTCGAGTTGTTCATAAGGCATCGTCCGCATCCGTTTAGATGCAAAGGTCCTGTTCTTTACAGCGCCTTCAATCTTTTCTCTGTCTTTGCAGGTCCGCGACAGCGTCGATTTTTGGATGTATTTTTTTCGCCACCTCTATGTTGGGCAGGCTGCTACGATCAAGCTCCTGAAGAATTTGCAGCTTTTTTGCAAGCAAGAATGGATAGTGCTGCCACTTTCTTTCTATCAGGCTGAAATAACGCCGTGATCTACCTCAGTTAGTTACGTTGGGTTTTATGGCGCAAAAGCAACAATGGCTATGATGCGCCAGACACTGGGTGATTTCGATAATATGGTTAAAATGTGAGGTGAAAAACAGATTTCTGTTTACAGTTTGTTTAGAAGACCTGTGGCCTCTAGAAACCTAAAAACATCCTGTATGGGGATGAGTGCATTTTCTGATAGTATTAACATTGGGTGTAGAGGTGTTTGTGTTCTGTAAATTGTTTAAAACAAACGTGCCTACTTTTTTCGAAGACTGGGCATGTTATTAAAATATGATTGATAGTCAGAGGTTCCTTGCAATGTTCGCATTCTGGCTGATCTTCTCCGCACAATAAGAAGTTGTGGGTGCGGTGAGTATGACCTATCCGTAGGCGGCATAGCATTACTTCGATGAAGGGCTTTTGGTGATTGCACGACTTCCATTCCTGTAGAATAGGCTTGACAATTTGAAGCTTGTTATGCACTTGAGCCTGCCACTCTTCTTGCCATTTTGCCCTAAAGGCTGTCCGACAACTGTTGAAACAGTCTCTGAATGGGATCCTTATTTCTGCTATGCTTTGATTACTTAGCTGCACAAATAGTCTTAACACAAAACTGACTCACCGACTCGGCTCCCACAGCCACCAGCTTGTCTCGAGGTGTTGCCATGGTTGTGAGACTACCTTTGGTCTGAGCGGGTCTTAGAGTTTGTGTCGTTTAACCGTAGGTGACCAATAAGCACTGTTTCGATTAACCGATCAATTTTACTACGCAACACATAGAAATCCAGCCATATGAGCTCATTTAGTTTTGTTAATGAGGCCAAGTTTCGTTTATTGTTAATGTTAATAAAACCGAGTTTTGTTAATGAAACCGAGTTTAGTTTGTTGGGAGTCCACTGTACGTCGCACACCAAAGCGACGCTAAAAGCAATGCGGCCTTCCAGATTATTGAGAAACGTGTTTTACTTACCAACGAGCGAAAGAAACGGCAGTCAACTATCTTAGAATATTATAAGTCTTAGGCTCACCTCACCGAAATAAATCGTTTGTAGTTAAAGCTCCTGTGCTCTCATTCATTTTCGGAGCTTTACTCACTCTTGCGTTTTCTCGGCTGTTACAGTTTTCCTACCAAGTCCACTGAAAAACGTATGACAGGGGTTCCATTGTACTCTAAATGCTAATAGAGTTACTGGAGCTAGTGCGGGTGCCTTTTAAACTATGTTGTACCCCATAAAAGATGCCAAATCTCTGCACCTGTGAAAAGCTAGACATGTGGTCAGACAGGACTTCCTTCTCCGGCTCCCCGTCGATGGCACTGAGCAGCTCAGGGCAGATGTACTGCCACATCTCAGCCACGTAGGCGTCGCCACGAATGCGAGCGCACTCCAGGAGGCAGGGTAGGGACTCGGCCGCTGCCGACCGCACGGCATCGTGGAAGTAAAACTTCAGCATGGGCACCATCAGTTTGACCACTTCTTCGGCGTACGATGCAAAGCCCTCCTTCAGTTCACGCGCATAGCACACCAGCATCTGGCACGCTGTTGCTTTCTCCTCCAGGCCCACTGTGCGGATGCCGAAGTTTTGCTGAAATACAATAGAGCACCATTCACAGCCTGCCACTGTTCACTAACCGCTGCTGTTTGCCCCTCACCTGGTCTCCAAAGCTGACAAACTGCCAGTCCTCGTCTCCTTCGACAACCTTCATGTCATCACCTGCAAATAAGACAATAGCTCACTCCAGGGACATCCGATGCGTCGCAACTTGCAAAGTTTCCCAGGCTTTCCCTGGCAGTCTACAGGATAAATGAGCATGAACAATATTCTTGACTACTCACTGTCCATGAGGGCTATCTCTGGCTTTAGTGCAGCTGCTTTCAGCACTGGTCCCATCACATATGGGAGGTAAGGTTCGAATTGCTTGCCCAAGATCTTGCATATCCGGGCCCAAGCCGATATCATGTACGAGAGCTGCAAAAGAAGGAAGTACCTCAAGGACTCACTCTCAAAGTAAAAAACAAAAACAAAAAAAAAACGCGCACCTGTGGATTGTCCTCACTGATTTCTATGTCACCAGTTTGCGTCTTCAACAGCATGTCCATCACATCACTTGCATCGGCGATGAACTGCAAGGACAAGCGATTCATATCATCAGCACAAGTCTGAGCAGAAGTGGCATAGACATCTTTTCCTCGCTTTTCTGCAGACCCTGCTACTGTAAGGGCCCCACCGTGTTCCACGAAAACCTTTGATAAAATATTCTGTAAATTGAATGCTTGGCAATGAGTCATCTATGGCAAAGCGCTATTTTTTTAAAAGAAACCGTAGCCATTCTTGCTAAAACAGCCAGCATGTGCAAAACAACCAAATTACCACTTCATAAGAGAGCAAAGGGCAAAGAAAGTAAAACAGGCAACGTTGACAACCACAGGTATGTTGACTGTGCCACTGGTTCCCACTATTCCGTTCACCACAGGAACACACTAATGCACCTCTGTTGTTGCAGGCCACCGTGTGTTAGCATTATAGCAGCAATGTTCAGCAAATCTACGTGAAAACTACAAGAGTGCTACCAGCAAGTAAATGCATGCAGAGTTGCTTACATGATAAAGTTCTTCCACTAGCTTCCAATAATAACTAAATGCCTGAGCATTATCAAAGAGCCAATGTTGGGGGTTTATGAGACGCACCGATCCAAGCAAGAGGGACGCACGCCACTCTAACCCCCATTCGTTTTTGCAGGTGGCTATATGAATTGGGGTTAGGCACAGGCCTTCCCATGCACTATAATAGCGCCCCTGCCCACTACATGCCAGCTTATAACAATTCATAGCGTCTCAGGAACAGTGGCCTCTATCCAAGTGGTACAGTAAAGTCTCGGTAGAACAAACACCATTTTAACAAACTTTTCAGATTAACGAACCTTTAAAAAATCACATGCCGACTGCTAATACATAGTTTCAATTTGAAGTTATTTCACTACTAGGTACTTCAGAATACTAAACTTTTCAGAATAAGGAGCGCTAATTTAGTTCCACATTATATTAACAACGCCTCAGTACTACAAACTCATGTTCTGAAATCTGTCGCGACCATCGGAGCGATACCCAAGCAGACGACACAGCGAAAGGACTCCTTCCGAAAGGAAGACGTGCAAGGGTGTGGAGGGGGAAAAAAACGAAAGGACGACTATCTTTTCTTTCTATTGAAATGCCATAGCTGCAGGTTTACAAGCGCAGAGGCGAGGACAACACTGGAGGGTAATGTCAGCAAGGCAGAGAGCAGAGTGGGAGTTGCGGAGCAGAAAGCGTGGGCGCGGAAAACCTGAGACAGTGAGGGAGCAGAAAAGGAAATGCGAGAAATTTTCTTTTTTGGCTCTTTCTTTTCTTCATAAGAGGCAATGACAGCCGCGACGCTTCAGGTTTTTCTTATCTTTGTCACTTCTACATGTGATCCAGGAGGCCAAAGGGGTATACGTGTTCTCTGATGTGTCCTTGTGAGTCGTGTTCATCTTTTCAGTGATTACTTATCGCAAAGCAAGTCAGCTTTCGCGCTGCGGTGCTACTACAATGAGTTCATCTCTGCTTGCGACAAAGAAGGGGAAGCAGTTTTCGCTAAGGAGAAAGTGGATGAGCTGGAGGCCTTCACGCTGCAAAGTTTGTGCTGCATGCGTCAAAAAAGAAAAAAAAAATCATTTTTTTAAAGAAACGTGCATTTTTGGTGTTCACTTGCGCATTTGTTTTTCACTGTGAAAAACAAGTTCAAGGAATTAACGTTGTAAAGGTAAATAGTTTTGGTCGGTGAAAAATAAGTAGTTAATTTCTGGGCTTTCACCATAACGACCTTTTAAAATAACAAACTAATTGCCACAGTCACCTGAAGTTCGTTATACCAAGACTTTACTGTACTTCTACTAAATGATTAATAAACAACCCAAAAGCCCCAAAATTGTAACGAAGAGAAGTATGCACACTTTTGCTATGTGAACATGCTACCGCAAGAATTTTGCTAATCCACGCTATAATAAGGAAATTGCAGGGGTTCCAACACTCATTTCAGCTGGTGTCAAATATCCGCCATAAGAAGCCGAAGGCGTAGCTATCGTCATGACTCCTCCCACTTCGGCTACATGACAAGATGCCAGCGATACAGCATTGGCGCCCAACCAAGAACCGAGCAGGGCTTCTCCCAAATGAGCACGTGTCATAGCGGTGTGACAATAAGCAAGCGCAGTTTAAAGAGCACCCCTATCCTAGCAGTAAATCAGCAAGATTTCAAGGCTTTCGTTCTGGCAACGCCTCTTCTCCCTGTAGTCTCACGCTCTGCAAAACGGCAGAGGGCACCACAGGAAAATGAAAATGCGGATTGCGTGACCAAAACTGTATCATTGCACGGCCACAGCCCCATTTTGTAGGGCAATAGACCAATCGAAGAGCTCAGTGGCACGTCAAGTTGCCACGTACAAGTTGACGTCACTGAACGTACGAGAAAGATTGGTCAGGTGTAGAGATTGTTTTTTGAAATGGAGGGTCTGTGCGGCGTTCAGCCCCAAAATATTTCAAAACTGTGATAGCTGCAGTCCACTGTACGAATTGGAGAGCTTGTTTTAGGGGTGTTAAGAAAAGTTGTAGCATGTTTTCTGGCCCTTTAATAAGCCCCTGAATTGGATAGGAAAGCACTGACCACACAAAATCTTAAACATTTTTCTAAGACTAGACATTATAAGCCAACAATAGCTTGAAAAGACACCTTTAAAATGCGTTTTTCTCAAGATTTATTTTTGAGCAACCGTTTGAGTTTGGACATCACGTTTTTATAGTACTTCTGATAGCCTGATTGGGATGAAATTTCACCCACATATTCCTTAACATGTGAAGGGTGCAAGTATTCCCTTCAACACTTTACATCGCTTGTATAATTGTTATAAACCCAAGGCAACCAATTAGACTCAGATTTCTAAGAATTCTCACATTACAATTTTTCTTGCCCATTAAAATGTTTTATACAGTCGACGTCCAATTTCTCAGACGCCCGAAATTACGGACATGCCTGATTTCCCAGACTCATCTGTGACGCTGTGAAATCCCCATAGAGTCAATGTATTAAATAGTCTGAAATTCAGGACGTTTCTAGCTTTCAACGCCCGATTTTCTGGATTTTTCTTTCACCTCTAATCACAGACTCCCAGTCGCTATTAATGCCGCCATTTGGTTTTCGTACCCTCAAACCCACCGCGCCGCGACTGCCGTACCCTCAAAACCGCAAATGCTACAATCCAGCGCTCACCAATTTGTTGTTAGCCGTAGCTAAGTCAAACCTGTGGCCACATGTGCATGGTGCTGTGCCTGTGCTCGAAGTGGGAAAAGCTGAGCTGTTGATCTGAGGTCTTCTGTTGGCATGCTTGCGGACTCGTGAAAGGCGGTTACGCAATAGACCCTCTTGAACTGCCTTGCCACCTGAAATATTGGACGCCGAAACGGCTGTCTCGCTCGGAGTGGACAGCGTGTGTGACGAACTTCCACCCACAGACATTGCCTTCGATGAACTGCACGCTGCCGGTGTTTCGATTCTAGCCGAGATGACCTTAGAGGGCTTCGCCAACAGCTGAGGAAAACCTCGAGCTGTGCGCGGAATTGACCAGTGACAAAACCATTCGTCAAGTTACAAAGTATTCTGACGACTAAGATACAGAGCTCAAAGAGGCAACGCCTACACAGCCAACAAGATTGGAGTTGCGAGCACTGACACAGCCATAGCATGATGTTGACTAATATTGAGACAAACATCATCGTGGGCAAGTGGAACGCCGTGCAAACAAAAATAAGCAACTATTTTTTGCACCTAAGTGATTACAAATGTGATAGCGCCGGCCACATTGAATTTTTTTTCTTTCTTCCCTTAAATATATTTGTAAAATATAACCGGTTCTTTTCTGAGCCACCTAAACGATGCATTTGCTGAATTGCAATGAGAATCTTACTCCTGTTATGACCCTCTTTGTAATAAAGTGTGTTTTCTCTGGAATTCGTTTTTCCGGACATTTTCGCGGTCCCTTGAGGGTCCGGGAAATCGGGTGTTGACTGCATTTTCTTGATACTTATTTGCAGTCTACAGTCGACGTGCAGCAATATCAACCATTAATAGATCAAAACCATAAAGTTTAGTGGCATAAAATGTTTGTTCAAAACAAACTATACTTTGCACACTGTCATAGAACAAATAGAAAACTGTGCAACTTACTACAAAACTTATTACATATTTAAAATCAGCATAAAAGCCTATATATACAGCAACACAACGCGCTATACCGACAGGAAGCCAACATGCACCCACCTTTTCTCTGCCCACAGCAAGTCCAATAAGGCTGACACACTCAATAGCCTTTCCTCGCAGCAGCTGCAGTTCAGGGGTGGCAGCATGCTGGATGATGTACTTCAAGCAAGGCATGAAGCGGTCGTAGTAGTCTACGAAACTTCTCTTCGGCACGATCGGCCAGAGCAGCCAAAGTGACCACAATCTGCTCCAGCATGAGCTTAGTGCCTTTCTCGACCAGCTCGCGCATCTTGCTATTCAACACTGCCTCGATCTTCTGCACCACCGCATCCAGGTAGGGTAGGAGCACCACCTTGGGGCAGTCCTCAAAGAAGTTGACAAGCGCAGCGCCCGCATGAGCTTGCACCCGCGGGTTGCTGTGGTCCTCCAACAGCAGCGCAAGGCCTGGGATCACGCGGTCGTGGAAGCGCTTCTCAAAGCCAGGCGAGAAGTCCGTCGCCATCTGGCCCAGTGCATTGCAGGCAGCATAGCGCACACGGGGATGCTGCAAGCCAGCGACACTAGGCGTCAAGTGAGAGATCAAAAAAAAAAAAAAACTGAAGCCAGCGTGTGTAAGTGCTGTGCACACACTTGCTTGTTGTACCCAAATTTGATTCGGTAAAACAATCCTAATGAAGATATGTTTGCTTCCTTTGCTCGGTCTATTATGTGAACATATGCTTTCTTCCTTTTCTCAGTCTATTATGTGAGCACCAAAACAGCTGGACATTCCTCCTGTTATAGCAGTTCTTACATAACCGCTGCAACTGCAACGCTACAAAGCCCATACTCAACGCCATTACAAGAACAAAGAGGATGGCCATTATTCACACCTCCCATACTCTCGAAGATTACGCCTACTGGTTGCACATCTGGCTGACAAAAGGTGCATGACATCTACCCTCTTCGTTACAAGCATACCCAAAAAGCCAAAGACACAGTAACATTGTACAGGTGCACTTATACATGTAAAAAATTCATTGCAAAGGCTTCATAGCAATATACCGTAATTACTCGAATCTAACGCGCACCTTTTTTCCGGTTAAGCGAGTTCATAAATCGCATGCACGTTAGAATCGAGTACGAACAAAAAAATTACGGTCAATCTATTGCCATTGGCAAATTCAAAATGGCCGCCCCCTACGTGCGTCGGCATGGCGCGTCGGCCATTTCTGCCTATGTGTTTCCCATGTGCGGCACTTCGTACGTGTGCTGAGGAGTTCATCATCTTGTAGTGCATTAGCATCGACGGCGTGGAAGGGCCGACTCCAAAAACTCGAGTGCACCACGATGTCGCTTTTAAAAGAAAAGTCATCGCGTGTGCAGAAACGGACGGAAATCGGGCCGCATCGCGGTCGTTCGGAGTTCCCGAAACGTGCGTGCGGGACCGGCGGAAACAAAAGCAGAAGATTGTCGACAGCAAAGCTTCACGCAAAGGCTTCAGTGGACCACAGCAGGGTCGGTATCCGCAAATTAAAGAGCTGCTCGGCGAGTATGTGCTTGAGCAGCGAGCGGCACAGCGGCCCGTGACGACAGAACTGCTCCAAGTGCGGGCTATGCAATTAGTCTTAGAAAAAGGTCTAATGCGGAGCCAGTTTATAGCGAGCAGGTGCTGGCTAACTAACTTTATGAAGAGGAAAGGCTTTTCTCTCCGAAGGGGAACATGCATATGCGAAACGTTTTGCGGAGGAGTAAGATGAAAAGTTTCACAGTTTTCAGAGGTTCGTCCTAAACTTGCGGTGCAACAACGGCTACCTGCTTGGGCAAATCGGGAATGCCGATCAGACGCCTCTTTACTTCGACATTCCTGGCACCACAACCGTCGAGAAGAAGGGGGCGAAGCAAGTTCGCGTGCTGACATCGGTCCACGGTAAAACTACAGTGACGGCAATGCTCTGTTACACGTCAGATGGGCACAAGCTTCGCCCGTACCTCATATTTAAATGGAAGACGCTCCCGAAAGGAGTCATTTTTTCGACTGGTGTGATCGTGCGGGCCAGCGAGAAAAATAGGTGCGCGTTGCAATCGATGTCTTACGTTTTTTTTTTTTTTTTCCCGTGGAAATCGGGTGCGCGTTACAATCGAGGGCGCGGTAGAATCGAGTAAATACGGTATATTTCTAGATAGAAAAGTGACAGACAGTGCAGCAGGCAACATTTTTACCACACAATGAAAGTGAATTGCTGTGCATAAGCAGCAGATGCTTTCCTTCAGGAATTTTGTAATGTTCAGTTCATATTATCGATACACTCAAACCTCATTATAACAAAGTTGCACCTAGAAAGAAAATAAGTTCGTTATATCCAATAATTCATTATACAGTTAAACCCCTTAAGAAAAGGCATGCTCCAGACAGCAATTCTTGTCTTTTATATGAGATGTCTCTTATAAGCAGGGTATTATGTATGCATTTTCTTATCAACCCATATTTTACTGAAGGCACGCTGGTGTCTCTTATACCCATTTGTCTCTTATATCAGTGTCTCTTGTAAAGAGGTTCAACTGTAAAGGCTATTCCTGACACTATCTATTGTAAGGATATTTTTCATTTACTTTGTTATAACCGATAATTTTGTTATATCTATGTGCGTTATATTGAGGTTTGAGTTTTATTTGATGTTAGGCATTTCAGTTCTTCCTATTCAAAAACGACAATGTAAGAAACTTGTGCGCCCTAAATTGTGACTGCAACTGGGCTTTTCAAAAGTCCTAAATCTATTTACAATGTTACTTGTTCCCCAATAACTCCACCCTACCTCCACAACATCTTGCCAACTTTTTCAATGCTGTTGCTAGTGCCATAAGCTGAAACAAGGCCAACTAGAAGTTATGTAACTAATTATACATAATATTGCTGTTCACAGCTGTTCTGTGATTCTTTGCGACGAGAGCAGCATTTTAAGTTCATTAATGTTTAGTATTGACATGCTGATGCGATCCAATCTTCATGAAACCCTCACCAACAGTTGTCACCGCCCACATAACTCACAGGGTCTTGAAGATACTTGAGGATGCCATCCACCAACTGCGGCAGCATGCCTTCCATCTGCTTGTGACAGCCCTCACCCGCTGCCGACACTGCCATCAATGCCGCATGCCGCTGCCGCCAGTCCTCTACATCAAACAAACCGCACACATTTAGTAGGCGAAATACTGCACATAAAACACTGCAGTTTTCAGAATGCACCAGCTCACGTATAAAACAGCCTGAGCAGTGTTCAAGCTACTGGCACTACCGTCCTTTTGATTTAGCATACAGTAAACATGAAACGATCGAAATTAAATGGGTTGCAAAAACTGCTTACTTTCATAGAATTTAAAGGAAGTTGGCCAAAGTGTTGGAGACTCTTGAGACGCAATGCCCAGTAAGAGGGACATACGCCACTCTGGCCTTCATTGCAATTGCTTTCGCAGAGGTTATCACAGCCAGGGTCAAGCAGAGGCTTGCCCTGCTCTCATTAAGCACCCCTGCCACTACTGTTGGCACTCTACTTGTTCCCACTTACCAGAGCTGAGCATCTGTGTGACGCACTGCATGACCAGTGGCAGTACGGTCTTGCCCCCTAGGCTGCAGGCCAGACGGTCTAGGGATGACTCTCCAACAACAGGATCACTGCATGCAATACAATAACAAGGCAAAGAGTGTGGCTTACTTCATCAGTATGGGGAGGGCTAGCAAGGCAAGTGCTAATATCTTGCTTACCTCTACAGGTTAGCCTTTTCGCTTTGTAACGCAATGTACTTATGAGTCAATTCAGCTAGTGTGTGCAGCAAATAACTTTCTTTTTTGCCAGTTCTGTACCACAAAAACATAAAAAATTAATTGCCGAGGATCGCAATCAGCACAGCTATCAGACATCTCGATGTTTATACAGTGAGCGGGGAGAATAGGTACATCCGTGTACTTCGGCAATATTTTAGCATGATTGAATGCAATACAGTTGAACCCCTTTTTCAGAGAGACACTTGGTGTATAAGAGACACCAGTGTGCTGCATAGAAGTAGGGGTTGATAAGAACATGAGGTACCTTGCTTATTAGTGACACCTCATATAAAAGACCAAAATTGCTGCCCCGTGCTTGTCTCCTATAAAAAAAATTCTACTTGTGTGGCTGTATTGAAGTGAAGTATATCTAGGAGACCCCGTCACATAATGCATCTAAATTTTTTCTTCATAAGCACTCTTCAACACCAAACTTAATCTGAAGCAAACAGCCTACCCTCAAATAGCTTGATATTAATTCGCCTATCACTACCCACCTGCCTGCCTTAATGCATAGTGGCAATTATGATGCCACTGTATAGTATTCCACCATTTATTCTTCCTGGGAAGACTAGATAATTATTCCTGACCTTACAACCCAGAGCACTGATTTAGAAAGTTTAGTCAGCTCCGTGCCAAAAAAATTGCCGAAACAGCAAAGTAGTAAGTGCACAAGTCTGTGACTGGCTGGGAAATCGACATTCATCATCATTTCACTTTATTTCTTTATGCACTCCTCTGATAATGCAACCTGCATGATGCTGACTACTATTACCACTACTACTACTACTACTACTACTACTACTACTACTACTACTACTACTACTACTACTACAATGAGGACAAAGATGGCACAGGTCAGACAACGACAGCTTTGCTATATAAAGCTGGTAGGTATGCACAAACCTTGAGGCTAAATCATACACATTGCAATAAGCCAGCACCTGCAAAACGCGAACAGACCTGTCATGGTCTTCATCAAGAACTTCGTCCTGGGTAGCCCAGTCGGGTTCATCCTCCAGCTGGACCATCATATGCAAAAGCTGGGGAACTAGCTGGGCAACATGCCTACCAGCCAGTTTGCGCACCATGGCTGGCGCACTCTCTGCCAACGTCACCAGCGTTTCAAGGCACAGGTGACGCCATGTGTCGGGTGCGGAAGGCTCCCCAGTTACCTGCACACCAACAACATCTGGCTTTGACAAACATGCCTAGCACCTGGTTCCTTGATCAGCTACCAGGTCATGCCACAATTTAATACCTTAACTCCACAGACCAGCACTACGAGTCCTCAAACCTAAAGATTATTTTATCACCTTCCCAAAGCTTTCTAGTACAGTGGAACTTCGATCATTTGACCCCGCCGATTTCTTACGACGCGCATTTTACAACGAATCGGATTGGTCCCGGCAAAATCCCCAAGAAAATTATGTATTAAATCCCTTGCTTATATGACGCAGTTTTACAATGACCACCACATTTTACAAAGACTTTCAGATTCTGTCGGAAAGAAAAAAACACCTTTATTCAAATCAAAGTCCACCAAATATTCACGAGAGCAAAATATGAACTTGCATACACCTAGCTTGACAAGTGGAAAAGTAGAGAGTGAGGCAGGACGTCTTCATAGAATGGAAAATTTATTCATCTGGAAGTTCACGCGCTTATAATACGCCTCAATTGGATACTTACGTGTCCAAGGTCGATACCTAGTCAAGCTGTATTCACATAGAGTAGCTTCACAGAGTATGCACATAAGAAGGGTCCGTAGAAACTTTTCGTGGTCGACATACAGCTGATCTCCTGCCTTTGTCACACTCGCAGTCACTGAATTGTGCATGAATAATGGTGTAATGCAGCTGTTTTCACCATACATAATTATTTTCACTAGACGTCAATGTTCATAATAGCAGCGAGAAAGCACTACAGTGCAGACCACTTATAACGTAACTGCTTTTTGCGCGGGACCGGTTATAACGTGGGTTTTTTGACCACCGATATGTTGCCCATAGAACTCAATGTATAGGCCGACCGTTTATTGCGTAGGCGCGCGAAGGAGAATACCGGTTATAGTGCGGAGTTTTTAGGCGCGCGACCATAAAATCGGCGAATGGGGCACGGTAGGCACGGTTTCCCGGCGGCGTTCCCGGCGCGCCGGAATGTTGGGAGTGTGAGCGGGAGGGTGCACTTGGAGACCGCCGCGAAAAGTCAAACATTGCGGAGGAGAAGAGAAGGTACAGTAGGGAGGAAGTCGGGGAGACTTGGAAGGAGGGAGCGTGTTTTCGTCACCGTGGCGACCGTGGCAGCGTCCAATCCGGGTGCGCGCTGCGCGAAGTGGGGGAGAGAAGCGGTAGCATGCTTTTTTTTTCTCGACCTCCTTCTTTTGCCTCTTTGGATTTGCTGTGCGCGCTTTGCCGTGTCGTTGCCGTCTGAGAGCCCAGAGCACGTGTGCTGCGTAGCTCCTGTCGCCATGGCGTCGGCGGCGTCTTCAAGCGGTGTGAAAAAACGCCGCACCTTATCGCTGGAGATTAAGGAATGCGTCATAAGGGACATTGAGAGTGGCCTAAAAAAGGCGTCGGTGGCGGCGAAACACGGCGTTTCCGACACGACCGTGTCGACCATCTACAAAAACAAGGACAAACTGCGGCAGCAACTGCAGCAAGATTCGTCTTCCCTGTCACGGAATAAAATACGTACGTCAAAATACGAAGACGTGGACGCAGCGCTGTTCAGGTGGTTCCGCGAAGTTAGGGCTCGGAGCATCCCAGTAAGTGACCCCATGCTCCAACAAAAGGCCAAGTGTCTCGGAGCTTTTTTAGGCCACGTCGACTTCAATCCACTCAACGGGCGGATTCAGCGTTTCAAAGATCGCCATGGCATCAGCTGCAAAGTGGTGTGCGAAGAAAGCGGAGCTGTCGACGACGAGTCTATCGAAGTCTGGCTTCGCTTGAACTTGGAGAGTATGCTGTCGACCTATACTGACAGAGACATTTATAATGCCGACGAAGCTGGTTTATTTTATAACCTTTTGCCCAACCGCACGCTTGCGCTGAAAGCCGGAGCCTGCTCCAGCCGCAAGGTCTCAAAGGAGCGCATAACTGTATTGTTTTGCGCCAATTTGGACGGGAGCGACAAGTGCCGCCTCTTTGTCATAGGTAAATCGGCAAGGCCACATTGCTTTAAAAAGCGAGAGTGCCTGCCAGTGACCTACAAAGCCAATAAAAATGCGTGGATGACGCAGGATTTGCTCACCAGCTGGCTTTGCAAGTTTGATGAGGATATGGTGGCAGAGAAGTGGCGGGTCGTGCTTACCCTCGACAACTGCACTGCCCACAACGTCAAGCCGAAGTTGACCACAAGTCAAACTAAAGTTTTTGCCTGCCAACACTACAGCAAAAGTCAACCTCTCGACCAGGGTGTCATCGCAACCGTAAAGGCGCTGTACAAAAAGCGCATTTGCGAGAGAGTTTTGCTCAGCATGCAGCAGCAGCAGCCTCTTAAAGTTAACTTAAGAGATGCAATTGACATGGTGGTCGCTTCATGATGGCAGGTAAAGGCCGATATCATAAGCAAGTGTTTCAAGAGGGCAGGCTTCGTGCGCAATGCAAAGGCTCCAGAAGACAATGAGCAGAGCGACATGTCGCTCGTCGATGAGAACCTCAACACTGACGACGTGTGGTCCTGCCTCGTTGACAGCAACTTTGTAACCGCCACCGACACTTTCCAAGAATTATCGGATGCCGGGGAGTCGGAGCTTTCTGTCTGCGAGGAAGCGAGCACAGATGATGCGATCGTCGCAGCGGTGCGCGGTAGTGCGGAGGTTGCAACGGACGACGAGTCGGACGGCGAAGACGATGTCGACCCAACGCCAGAACCAGATTTCGCGTGCAAAGACGCATTAGAATACCTCGCTAAAGTGAAAACGTACTGTGCGAAAAACAGTTTGAGCGAGAAATCGCTTCAGTGCTTAAGCTTTGTGGAGGACGAAATTGTTCGCAGCGCTGTTCGCAAGCATCGCCCGACGAAAATAACGGCGCTCTTCCGCTGATGCCGGACTTGAGAACTTTGTTTCCGTGCGGTATTGTGATTGTGTTGAATGTGTCTGCGAGTGAAAACTGTAGTAAATTGCTTTTGAAAGGTGGGTTGCCCTTTTGACATATGCAAAGGCCGAAAGAAGCATGCTTTGGTTATAATGCGGTACCGCTTATAGCGCAGAATTTTACAACTCCCGTGACTTACGTTATAAGCGGTCTACACTGTAGTTGCACTTAAGAGGAGATGCGGGTCGAAAAAGGTGATTTTCAAAATTGCCTATTATTTATTTCAGCCTGTTTTGATAAGATTAGTACCTCTACTGTTATGAAAAAAATATACAGGTCGAGACTTTACTGGAAATGCTTTAAAAATGCACCTAACCAGCAAAGGTGCCTGTTAAAAGGTCCAATGTGTGCAGTCTTCAAGAACCTTGCCGCTGATAATGCGCCACCGCTCGCCATTGTTGATCGCATGAGGTGAAGAGTGGAGCCTCACTCTTCAAATAACAAGTTTCCCTCGCTGATGCAGCGCAAGAAATAATAAAAAAAAGCACGCTTCTGCGCGTTTTTAGAGTGCCGCGACTGGCTTATCACGTGGAACGGATCGGGGACCGCCATTGGCCGCTGCGCGCCTGTATTTGCTGTGAAGCCTATTTGCGTGATTTATGTCTTGTCGAGCAGCGCAGCTGAACAATGCTTTTGTCGTGTTATTGTCTCCGTTATGACTGAAAGAAGCCATTGCTCGCAAATGAAAGCCGTTGTGCGGCGCACTCTGTAGGAATTTGCTACGAGCAGCTGGTCTGATTTGCGGCAGTTGTTGGCTTGCAAAGGCCGATATCATAAGCAAGTGTTTCAAGAGGGCAGGCTTCGTGCGCAATGCAGAGGCTCTGGAAGACGATGAGCAGAGCGACACGTCGCTCGCCGATGAGACCCTCAACACTGACGACGTGTGGTCCTGCCTCGTTGACAGGAACTTTGTAACCGCCACCGACACTTTCCAAGAATTTGTCAATGCCGGGGAGTCAGAACTTTCTGTCTGCGAGGAAGCGAGCACAGATGATGCGATCGTCGCAGCGGTGCGCGGTAGTGCGGAGGTTGCAACGGACGACGAGTCGGACGGCGAAGACGATGTCGACCCAACGCCAGAACCAGATTTCGCGTGCAAAGACGCATTAGAATACCTCGCTAAAGTGAAAACGTACTGTGCGAAAAACAGTTTGAGCGAGAAATCGCTCATGCGCTTCTTCCGCTGAAAGGCCCGCGAAATCGGCTTCGTGAGCGAGATGGGGTATTGATGTTGCTGTTCTGCAGTAAAACTGAGTATTTTTAAGGTGGGTTGCCCTTTGACATATGCAAAGGCCGAAAGAAGCATGCTTTGGTTATAATGCGGTACCGCTTATAGCGCAGAATTTACAACTCCGTACTACGTTTAAGCGGTCTCACTGTACTAAGGGCAGCGGTCGAAAAAAGACATTTTTTTCAAAATTACCTATTTTTTATTTTAGCCTGTTTTGATAAGATTAGTACCTCTACTGTTATGAAAAAAAAAATTTACTGGAAATGCTTTAACATTGCACCTAACTACCAAAGGTGCCTGTTAAAAGGTCCAATGTGTGCAGTCTTCGAGAACCTTGCCGCCGATAATGCGCCGCCGCTCGCCATTGTTGATCGCATGAGGCGAAGAGTTGAGCCTCAATCTTCAAATAACAACAGTTTCCCTCGCTGATGCAGCGCAAGAAATAATAAAAAGAAGCACGCTTCTGCACGTTTTTAGAGTGCCGCGACTGGCTTATCACAAGGAACAGATCGGTGACCGCCATTGGTTGCTGCGCGCCTGTATTTGCTGTGAAGCCTATTTGCGGGGTCTATGTCTTGTCGAGCAGCGCAGCTGAACAATGCTTTTGTCGTGTTGTTGTCTCCGTTATGAATGAAAAAAAGCCATTGCTTGCAAATGAAAGCCGTTGCGCGGCACACTCTGTAGGAATTTCCTACGAGCAGCTGGTCTGATTTGCGGCAGTTGTTGGCTTGCAAAAGCCTATGTATCAAAAGTCATTCACACCCGTCAGCTGGAAAGTTCGTGATGCGGCAATGGATGATGTCAGGTCAATCTTGCGAAGTCAAAAGAGCTCGCAGTTAGGGAA